AACCCCATTCAAAACCTTTTGCATGATGGGAAACGATCCTCAGTGCGGTGGTGTAGCGACCACAGACAGAACACGTGACACACACTGGCCTGAAATGACTTTTCTTCATACTCAGTCATCACAAAATCAAACTGTAAAATGATGAATGAATTTTTTTATGAGCATCACAAAGAACCAGAGATTTGATCCATAATGTCCAGATGAAACTGTGAAACCCAAAAAGGTGTAACATTGATTTTTATACCAGTCATGTGTTTGAGGAGCAAACAGGGCAACTCTACTGTTGAGCAACCTTCATGTGAATGAATGGGTTGCTGTATCCAGGTGTCTACATACTTTTGTCTACATAGCTTATTTGCAATGCATGTGTTCAGTGTCGGGCTAAATGTTTTATCTTCCCAAAACCTAAAGATCTTCAGTTTAATGACAAAGAAAAGCAGGAAATCAGCATTTTTTCGAGGCTGAAACCAGAAAATATTTGGAAAATTTTTGCTTGAAATTGACTGAACCGATTAATCGATTATCGAAATAGTGGCCAATTAATTTTCTGTCGATTGACTAATTGATTATTGCAGCTGTAGTTAAATGTGATGCAGTGGACTCAGATTATATGCAGAACAGTCTTGTATATAACAGGACAGACAGAGGGAGGAGAAGCCAGATTTTTGCAGTAATTATTCAGTCACTGCTGCAAACACAGGCTGTCTCTGTGAGCAGGATAATTCCATTGATCCGTCCTTTTGGGATAGTCAGCACATTTAGGAATTCAGGGACGCATCAGTATGCATCATTCAGAGACACAAAAAATGTCCCATTTCCTCGTCTTCCTCTGCTGCTGCCAGTTTGAGCCTCATACTCTTCTTACAGCAGGTTAGAGATGCGTCATATTTATATTTTATGCTAAAATTTACCTTGTGTGCGATTAATGTCCAGTCACTTAGCATAGACTCAGCAAAGTGGGAGTAAAGGTCACTGATTTTCTTTTTATAATGCCACTTAAATGAGCGTAGCTGAAGCAGAGGTGGAAGGATTCGTGAGGCTCTCAGATACTGAGGCGGTTATTGTTGTCATGGAGAGAGTGTGACGAGGATGGCCACATGCTTTCACACTTAACACGTCTTAGTGGGTATAACATTATCTACAAGGGACATGCAGCCATGAGAGATCTAGAGAGGAAAGTCTGAAGCTTGATAACTGTCACAGGTTGTTTTTTACTTTACAGTCACAAAGACACAACTCTCTGCTGCTCCACTACAGCCGAGTGTCTCTGTCCTTCTCCACAACACACAGTGAGTGAAGAGATGATCTGATTAGATCCTGACATTTGATGCAGACACACCCTCCTCCTGTCCGGACTGCCTTCTTTGTTTAATTGTTCATATAAAAAAAAACACATACAGCAGCATATGCATCTGTACAATCTGTTGTGGTGTATTTAGACACAAATGAGGAGAGCTGATGACCTTTAAGACTTTCTTTTCTTCTGTGAAGAGCCACAAAATTGTTTTCTTCTTCAAAGACAAAGTGCTACAGAAGCCCTGGGAGTCAACTGAAAAAAAAAAATTAACCTGTCTTCACAGATATTTCTTTATTTATTTATTTATTTAGAAAAATGAGCCTGGAAATGATCCTGGCAAAATGTTTTTTTTGTCACTTGCCTCTCAGGGCCTCTGTTCTGTCTTGAAATTCCCATTTGCAGGTTTTCGCTTCATTTCATCCATTACTGAGCTAACTGCTAGCTCACCAGGCTAATGGCACATGTTGGTTAAGCTGCCTCTCTTCCTGCTTCCCAGTGGGCATTGCAACCAATGACATACAACGACACAGAGGATTGGCCCAGATAACCAAAACCAAATCAAGCTTTATGCAAAAAATCGGCTGAGGTCAAGGTCTAGTTCAAATCCCTAAAACAACCTTTATTTACCATGTACATTATGACTATTGTCTGTAATATTTTTGTATTGTTATAAACTAATTAACTAACCAGACCTCCATCATCATCCAGCCACATTGTTATTTTCCTCTTTTAAAGCACTTCTCTGAAAAAAAACAATAGAAGGTTGTTTGTCTCTTTCCATTTCCAGCTGGTCAAATATAACCAGCTCTTATTGACCCAGCCGCTCCATTCATCAGACCTGATTTATCAGATTCACATCCAGCCCACCATTGATTTACTGTGCTGTTTGGTATCTGCTGTGCCCCTCTTATTCAGCGTGGCACACATGATGTCCACACATTTAGCTTTGTACATGTTTTAACATCAGTTTTTATTTTGCCACTTTAAAAACTATCTTTGAAAATAAGAGATAGAGAGTCATAATATTTCATACTATAAAAGAAAAAACTGAAGTGTAAAAACTAGTTATGTGGCTCAGTTGAGGCTTATCTCTGAGGCCCAGAGGTAAAACAGCAGCAAATCATCACTAAGTAACAACTGCTGGACATTCCTCAGCAGACTGAGTCAGTGCTGACAGGAGCTCAAGTCTCTCAGTTCCAGTAGCAAAGACAAGAGCAGGAGGCGTGTGATTGGACGAGAAGTGGACACAGAAAAGACATGAGGAGGATATGTAGCATTTAAACAAAGTGAGGTGGAGATAGCCGGCTGTGTTGTCCTTGAGTGGGAGTGTGCTGTCGACCGGTCTGGCGTCATGTGTGCGTGGGTTATAATTAGAGCAGCTGATGTGTCTGTGTCTCTGTGCAGGAATGTGTTTAATATATGAGGCACCAGCAGTGCATTAACGTATGTGAAATGTGGTGTGTGTATAAGAGTGTGTGTGTGTGTGTGTGTGTGTGTTTGTGAAGAATACCAAGGACAGAGCTTTTTTGTAGTCTGCTGTTTGTCAACATAAACAAACTTGTTGTCAACCACATCAGCTCGATGTTGCAAACAGCTGACGGAGAGAGTTTAGGACGAGCAGTTTGTTCAGTCTTCAGCCTCAGTTCCACTGAACAAGTTCTGACTTTAAAGGAAGAAACATGGCACATTAGATACAATGTAGTTTAGAAGTGAGTAATTCAATGTATAAGTTCATTTACTCATATAAATTGAAGGTACTGGTACTTCCCATTTAATCACATTTTACACTTGTACTCCTGTTTTTACTCCACTGCATTTATGTAATTGCTACATTAAGATTTTAAATTAAGATTTTACATAGAAAATACATGATACATTTATAAAATATTGTTATAGATAAAACTGCTCAACAGAAAATTAAACATTTGAAATGAGTTCCACCTCAACCAACTAAAACAGTAAAATGTGACTTACATACTGATGCATTAGCAACTATAGGGGCACCCAGAGAGCACAGACCTCCACTAAGACAAATGTCAAACAACATACACCAAACTTCAGAGAAAATAATTCACATTCATAGTAAATGATCCAGATTGTTCCGGTTTGTCCCCGTCTCATGACCCATCTCTCCACCAAGTTTGGTGCATATGGGCTCAGTACTTCTTGCATAATCCTGCTGACAAACAGAAGCAGGTGAAAACATAAACCCCTGGTAACAATAAGCTATTATTAAAAGTTTTATATATATATATATATATTTCTCTCCACTGAGTACTTTTAATACTTTAATGACACTGTGTCAATAATACTTCTTGTACTGTAGCAGGATTTACATATAAGACTTGTGTACTTGTGTGTAAATGTGGTATTTCTACTTTTACTTCAGTAAACCATGTGAGAGCTTCCTCCACCTCTGGACTCATTTTGTTACTGGTCACCAGTCACGAGAAGGTGACGAGTGACACCACGGTGCTTCAGTAGCACACGGATCTGTTGTGACAACAGACTGAAAATGACCAGTGAGGCCACACGGACCTCTGACTCACACGGTGACTGAGCGAGAGCTGTAACGTCCCTCTGAGTGAAATCATCTACAGCAGAGCCATGAATTATTGAAGGAGGCTGCAGAGTCATGAAGTGTCCAGAGGCCCAGAGTGTTTGATATCATATCGTTTCCCTGACTGTCTGGTTAGTCCGTTTGTACAGAATATTACCTGTGTACCTGAGATCCATAAGAACATACTGGAGGTTAAGATGTGTATCCTGGTAAAGACAGTGTACTGGCCTAAGTGTGGAGATGGAAAATAATACAAATTGTCATTTAAAGTTTTTTAGGCAGTAGTGGAAGAAATCCTGCAGTACAAGTTATACTGAAGTAAAAGTACCAAAGTATTAGCATCAAAATACATCATAAAACCTGTTATGCAGTTTGGCCCATTTAAGAAGACAATATATAATTTGATTATTGTTACTGATGCATCAGTGTGTAGTAAAGGTGGAGCTAATTTTAACTGTTATATACTGCTACCTGGTTTAATCTATGATATACATCATGATTTATTCGTTGATTATATATTGTTTTTATAATCTTAATGTCAAGTAACAAGCTGGAAAGTAATGTAGCGAAGAAGTATAACGTAACATTAAAAGTAAAAAGAAAAAGTACATTTAGTTGAATGAAGCATAAACTGTATATAAAAAGATGGACACTTTGGAATAAGATTTTATTTATCACAACAAAGTGCTTATAAAACTAGTTGAAGTGCAATTAAATTACATGAATTAAATTTATTTTTTTAATTTTTTTTAATTGAAAGTTTTCTGCTGCAGTGAACAGATCAGTTACATGCCCTGTGCTCTCTTTTGAGAAAAATGCTAATACAACATGCTAACATGCTCACAATATTAATATTAACATGCTGATATTAAGCAGGTGTAATGTTTACCTTCTTTTTTTTTTTTTTTTTTAAACATGTTAGCATGCTAACATTTGCTTATTAGCTGAGGCTGATGGGAGTGTCAGTAGCATCGACTTCAGCTGGACTTTAAAATAGGTTTTGTTACACGAGTCTTGAGGCTTTGGAAATGGCAAAAATGAAAAATGATGCTCATATATCATCAGTATTTTTCTGTCGTGCTGCAGGTTTACTGCTGTTTTTCCTCAAAAGCCTGAATCTCTCTTTTTCCCCCCCCCTTCCAGAACACGATGAATCTTCCTCCAGACAAGGTGAAGATCCTCAGCCAGTACGACAACGAGAAAAAATGGGACCTGATCTGTGACCAGGTGGGTCTGCTCTGTCATCCTGCTGACTGTGAATCACTTCTTTTTTAGACGTAAGATGATTAATGGGCCTGTTTTATAGGCAGTGGATTTGTAACCAATGTAGGTCAATCAATATACTGATGCAATGTGAATACCAAACACAGGAAAACATCCCAACCCATACACACGCACACAAACACGAGGAAGCTCATCAATATTGTACGTCACCGTAGCAACCACAGACAGGTCCTTACCAACCTGATGGGAGAGTGACAGATGTTGCCTGTCACTATCACACAGTGGCTCATGCAGCTTTTCTTAATTGACAGATAATTAACTGCGCAAAAAATGGAAGCCAGAAAATTTCCACAATTTCAAAAAGTGAAAAAATAGATGGTTTAGTGAAAGGGTGTGAGTGGGGCTGGTGTGGCTGAAGCGTGCGTGATTGTAACTGCTGCACCACAGTAGAATAATTTCTGGAAGCTTGTTAAGATCAAACTCATTTGCATAAGAGACGCTGTGTAATCAAACTGTGTGAAACCCCGGCTGAGCTCTGCCCTCTGGCCCCCCCCCCCTCCTCTCATTGCAGTACAGCAATCAATGTGCGTGTATGTGCGTGCGTGTGTGTGTTCCTCTGTATCTGCAGGAGAGGTTTCAAGTGAAGAATCCACCGTCTGCATATTTGGAGAAGCTGAAGAGTTATCTGGATCATGGAGGAGTCAGTCGAAAGGTAGAATCCACGTCACACATCTCAGTTTCAAGTCATTTTCTGAATAATGAAGCGTCCACTGACCTCATAACCACCTGCATGTGTTTCTGTCAGTTTAAGAGACGTGTCCAAGAGTCCACTCAGATCCTGAGAGAGCTGGAGATTTCCCTGAGGACCAATCACATTGGGTGAGTTTTACTTCAAATCCCAAAGTGAGAAACAAACCTTTGTCGAGTTCGGACTACTGTTAAATGAAAGAAGCGGCAGAGTGAAAAGATGTTTTCTCCTCACAGCTGGGCTCAGGAGTTCCTCAACGAGGAAAACCAAGGCCTAGATGTTCTTGTGGATTATCTGTCCTTCGCTCATAGCGCTGTCACGTAGGTATCAGCCTGAAAAACAGAATTTTAGGTTCACACATTCAAAATTTCATTTACATGAGCGTGAACTCTGACCCTTCTCACCTGACTGTGACTCACAGGTACGACACAGACACTCTGGACAACGGCCCGCTGCCCACAGACAAAAGCAAAACTATGGACAAGTCAGCGGAAGATCTGAGCAGAAGTGCCAGCAACTCCCCCTCTCACAGCGCCTCCAAGGCCGGCAAGGCCTTCACAGTCAGGTGAGGAGACGCACAAAGAGTTGAAGTTGTTCATGTCCCACGAGAAAATAAATAATATCTTCCGTAAGTCAGAAACTGAGCTCCATCAGGTCTGTTTTAAAATTTATTCGTAACTCATTAATTATAACGTGACTTTGCCAAAAGTATGTGGCCACATAACATTTTTCCCATATGTTTTAGTTCCACAAGTCCAATCAGTGTTTATCATACTAATGTAATAAATAATCAGACACCAATGATGTATGAAATGTACAGAATCTAAACATTTTTTCAATTCCAAATGTTAAAATTAGCAGAATTTTCAAAATGAAATAAATATAAAATATGAAAATGTATAAACACAAAAAACCTTGTACTTTTCAAAATATAGGTACAAGGAACATTGAAAACCTAAACAAATCACTAAATACTTCAATGTTGTCACAGTGTAAATAACCCACGATATAAGACCAGATAGTTACTGTACTGACTTTAAAAAAACTGATTCTGAGATGTCATTGGAAATAGTTCATTAGTTCTTTAAGGGGGAGGGATCTGCTTTTTGAGACTTTGTTGTGGAGTTAAGTTTGTCAGTCCTTGGGGGGGCCCAAGCAGTTGTAAAACTTTTGCACAGTATTGTAGTAGGAAGCGCTTTATTGTCAGGAGCTAATAAGTGTAACCCAAACAATGAAAAACAGACCCAGACTTTTGGCCATATAATTTACCTAAAACAACAGAGTAGGTTAGACTAGGAGACGATACACGGTGACGATAGATACATGGCTTTTACTGCAGAGATGGGCAAATTGTGATTTACACTTGCACACAATTTCACAAAAACACATGATCATGTTCGTACACACACAGAAATCCTTCATCTGCTGCAAACACTCAGCTCGGTGCATCAAACTGTTTCTAACAAACTCCGGATCTGATGAGACACACGACACAGTTGTAGCAGCTGTGGCTGTTTGCATTTGTTATCCAAATACAGTTGGATCAGTATAGAGAGCAGACTCTCACACACAGGGACACAAACAAAGCAGTGATATACATGCACACACACACACACACACGCACACGTTACACTGTAAACAAACACCTCAAACAAACACACGCACATTCTCTGACATGTTATCTCTCTGATCTGAAGCGACTGCATGTCATTGTGAGAACTTCTACCTACGTGTGTGTTTGTCGGCCTCATGTTCAGACTGTGTAAGTGTGAATGTGAGAGAAACACACACTCTGACCCATCATCAGACCAGAGGGAGTGTTCGGTTTGTCTGTGGCGCTCATTTGATCATTTACTTTGTCATACAATCCAGGCACATACAACCATCAAACCCACCATGATATGAATCATAAGCACACATGCTAAGCTGTTAGCATTGTACTTTAGGTGTAGGGACGACAAAGCTGTAACCACAGCGTCTCTTACCTGGCAGATTCAACTCTCTCCAAAACAGGAAAGCTGTGAGGAACTCGCGTGTCGTGAGCCAGAAAGACGATGTTCACCTCTGCATCATGTGTTTACGTGCCATCATGAACTATCAGGTATTCAAAGCCACCCACTCAACGTCTCTAATCATCGTTTTGACAGAAAGGTATGGAAGGTATGGAGGCCCATTTCTTCCAAGAAAAGAAAAAATGGATAGAATGTGAGGAATGAAATAATGAAAATAGTAATGACAGAATGAGACCAAGAGATACTGAGTCAAAAAAAAATTCACTTTCACAGTCATGTTTAATTTAAGTTAAAATGTATATTTTGAGATGTAAAGTCAAAATTCTGACTTCAAGAAAGAATTATGAGCTACAAATTCACAATTTGACTGTCTATCAAAATTAAAAGTTTCTAAGTCAAATTGTCATAATTATCAGCATCTAAATTACAAATATAACTATAAATCAAGATCATTAGATACAAATTCATCATTTTCATTTTCGTAATCGTGATTGAGATATATAAATTAAAAATCTACCTGTCTAAGTAAAAATTAAGGCATTATTTATAGAGACTAAGTTATTGAGTTACTTAGTTAAAATGTGACTTTTCAAATCCAGATAATGATACAAAGTAATTCTGATTTTAAGTAAAAATTATGAGGTATAAATTCAGAATTTTGATCTTTTTAATCAAAATGAAGAGACTATGTCAATATTTTAATTTGTAAGTCAAAATTAAGTCATATTTAATAGGCACTAAGTCATAATAATGAGTTACAAAGTTGAAATTTTGATTTTCTGTCAGAATTAAGAGAGTTTAGTTTTTAAGTTTTAAATAAGACATACTAAGTCATAACTATCAGTTACTACTTTACAAATGTGACTTTCTAAGTAAAGATTATTAGATACAAAGTCAAAATTCAGCCTTACAATTCATAAGCTACAAATACAGAATTCTGTTTTTCTAAATCATAATTTACAGATACTCAGCCTAATTTTTTTGTCTTATTTTACTTAAAGGTCTAAATAGTGACTCATTCCATTATTATGACTTGGTGTCGCTTTATTTTGCCTTATACTATCAATAAATGTTGACTAAGTAAATATCATATAATTTAGTATTTTTAATACTAATGTACCTTTCTGTACCTGACAGAAACTGACTCCCAAGTAAGAAGAATGTGAGTGATGTAGTTGTTCTAGTTTAAATGTGATTACAGTCAGTGTTGTAGCTGCCTGTAAGAATGTCTCCTGTAGTCGAGTGATTGGCAGTTATCATTTGTGTGTGTGTGTGTGTGTGTGTGTGTGTGTGTGTGTGTGTGTGTGTGTGTGTGTGTGTGTGTGGTTAGTCTGGGTTCAACCTGGTGATGAAGCACCCCTGCTGTGTCAATGAGATCACACTCAGCCTCAACAACAGAAACCCAAGGTGAGGAACATGAACTTTAACGTGTGGAATCTAATAAGAAATCTTATCACTAAATACAAAACACATAAATTTTCTTTTTAAAAAATCAAGAAAAATACAAGAATAAATGTAAATACAAATTCCTCTTGTCAGGACGAAGGCGCTGGTGCTGGAGCTGCTGGCCGCCGTGTGTTTGGTAAGAGGAGGCCATGACATCATTCTCTCCGCTTTCGACAACTTCAAAGAGGTATGACGGGTTACCAGAGTGTTTTCTAATGGGTTTATCTGCTGAGCTACTTTACAGGATGGGTTCACATTATCTCAGGTCTGTCTAAGAACAACAGTCAGGTGCCCGTATCAATACTGAAGCATCAGCATCAAAACATCTCTTCCTTACATGCTTACACTTTCAAATCTACAGTCCGTGTTCTGTAAAAAAGTTTATTTGAAGCTAATATGATGTGAGTTGGTCAAATCAAGTCAGTCATCCAGAGTTACACCTTTTTTAGACAGTCTCTGTGCTGAGGTGCAGCAGTTATATCAACACAATTTTGTAAAACGACTGTAACCCTGTGAGACACCTGATTCATTTATCTAAATCAGACCGTTGAAGCTTCATATCAAACTTAAGCTAAAGTTTGGAAAGTGTTTTTGCACACGAATTTTGTCTCTTCTCACTTATGATCAGTATGAACACGAGGAATGATTGCAGCGACTTTTGTTTCAAAACCTTAGAAATTACTATTCTATAGATCCAGTCTTAGTCATGCTGGTCTAAAAGCAACAGGTATGACTCACTCTTACCAGGAATAGGCCTGAGTGTCTTTTGAAATGATGATGCCTGAGTTTTGGTATCTATACCTATATTTGAATACCTTATTGTAAGAAATATGACTTGTCAGTTATTCCCCTGAACCTGTTTTTTCCATGTAACAAAGAGGCCAAAGTTTTCAAATGCTAAACTCGAGCAGCCGTCCAAGAACGCTCCCTAAGTCTGATCAAAGATTCACCAACAGCTTTTAATAGTTAACAGTTTTTTCAGCCAGTACCAAGCACCTACTGAGATTTTTAGACTCTTTAGATGTGGCTGAATCTTGCAAGGGATAAAAGCACCGTGTGTTGCAAGAATTCATAAAGACATTTCACCACATTACCCTATATTACCAGCATCAGCTGGGAGGACTCAGCCCACATTCAGACCTTATTTTAAACTGGTCTTAGTCTCAACATAGACGTGGTGTTAGTGTAACAGCACCCACATTCCAGTCTGTCCTTTAATGCCTTGAAAAGCAGGTTAAGGGGAACCCCAGACCCTCCTGGCCCCCCCCCCCGCCCCCCCTCAGCTGCTTTGTGCAGTTGTCCCACCACCAGATAAAACCGACTGAAGAGGCGTAAATATGTGAAGCACTTGTTGAGTTGCCTTTGACCTCTCCTTGGCCGTCTCTCATCTTTGCCTTAGAAAGCAGCAACTGTTGCCAACAGATCCTTCAACGACACTGACAGGAAGGAGCTAGACCTGAACCAGGAGTTTCTATTATTAGTAAACGTCAATGAAGTTGGAAAGCTGCCCTGCAACAAGCCGAGTCCTCCCTGACTATGAGGAGGGAATGCACTTTAATGTCAATTATACACATTTGCTTCTGGATTCAGATTTAAACCACTAATGTAATTTCATTGCAAATAGCCAGGAGCTGCTGGAATTAACTGCTGTTTCCATTTTAGCTCCAGTTTCAGAAACACTTAAGACACCAGTTTAATTAGAGTGAATGGCTGCTGCAGCTGAATTAAAGTGTCTGTAAGGGTTAGCCAGAAATTTTTCAAACTCTGATGAAACAGTTGTTTTGAAACTGAGATCCAGCGGAAGAACACAAGACTGAAACAGAAACAAGTTCATTTGAATTTTCTGAATTGAATATAAACTTTCTTCCTCGGTGGTAAAATGACGAGACTTTTCTCCTCTAAAAAAAACGAGCCTCTAGGTCATTTGTGCATCAGGTTATTATGACCCACAGTTAAGTTTTGTTGCTAGGCGACATCTAGTGGCTGTAGTAATTATGACAGGTTACGACAGATGTAGCAGTTTATATTATCTTTCATCCATGACCGTTCCACAGGGGTAACCACGTTATTAACAACAAAGATGGTCTAGCCATGACTTTTATTATAGTAACCACGGCGAGGAATTTATGTAAGCTGCTCTCGATTATTGTAACCATGAAAACCAAGGTGCGCCTGCTGCCGTAGGGGCGCAAAACGGCAGCATCAACAAACATTGATATCAAAGTACTGATTTCAGCGACATCGCCCAGCTCTACAAGATAATAAATTATGAAATGATAAAATTATGATTCTGTTCCTTTCTTTATTATCAATAAATCTAATGAAAAGACCAGTACCGTCGATGTTTTTTAATATTATCTGACTTCTCTTTAGCCCCTTGGAAGTTCATTGGTTCCTACTGAAGATGTAAATCTTTTAAAACACCACAAATATATAGTTTCATTTTTAAAACATCTCAGTAACTTCCTTAAACATCTGGTAACTGTAGTTTTTAGCAAAGGTTACTCAAACTGGAGCAAACAGTGTATTTGTTGGGGACTATTCTTAGCGGCGGATTAATCCACTTTTGGGGTTTTTAATAGTTTTTGGAAACAATGGAGCTCTGTGGCTCAGGCTGTAGATTCACACGTGATGCTTGTTAAAGGGATTAATTCATTTTTGGTTTTGATCTTCATGAGATTTGTTGAAAGTAAGAAAAGACACTCCTTTAATGAAGCAACAAAGAAGAAGAAAATCAAGTGTCCATCTGTAAGCACCGAATCCTCTGGCGACATCAGCCCCTGGCTGGTTGATTAGTGCAGCATCAGTTATCACAGCAGTGGCTCCAGTATCACAGTGAGTGCCACTTGTTTTGGTGCAGCAGCAGCACCGAGGTGTGTGTGGGCGAGAGCCAGAGGGAGATTGAGCGAAAGATGGAGAGAGCGATACAGTGCTCGTGGTCGTGAAGCTGAGGCGAGCAGGCGGGCGGAGAGCCAGGAGCTTGGCTTATGTGTCGCTCAGTGGCAGGACGTGGGCATTGTTTTGGGCCGTGCAGGCTGTCGGGTTGGCATGCTGCATTATTTAGCGAACATGAGTGGGTGAAAAGGGGGGAGGGCAGAGTACAAGACGGCAAACGCTCACATGCTGCTGCTAATGGACGAGACAAGGAAACTGCTGAGCAAACTAACATCAACACACACACTTCCTGAAGCCTTGTTTATGTTTGGCCTGTCTGTGTGTATTCATAGCAATTATCCTGCACAATGCACTGGTTTTATTATTGCTGTTACTTGTGTTTGTCCCCGGAACCTGACACTAAATTCACAACCACAAGCAGCAGCCACATGATTCTCTGTAATTAGATGACATGTTTGCTGAACACACACATCATTTAAATACTGCAGAGTGTATGTGGCTAGATAGAGAGATGCATTACTCTGATACTGTGTGAGCACACTGCCCCCATGTGAGAACACACGGAGGAGATGCAGTCCTTGGAACAAGTTGATTTATCTTTTCTGTCATCAGCAGCGCGTCTCAGGGGGCGTCTCCTAGATTTAACAGAGCAACATATTAATCACACAACACAATGAAGAGAGTCAAAGGTGTAACAGTCAGTGGTTTTTAAAGTGGGAAGCTGCTGTGATCTGACACCACCTGTTGTTGTTGTTGTTGTTGTTTCTCAGGTGTGTGGAGAGAAAAGTCGATTTGAGAAGCTCATGGAGTTTTTCCGCAGTGAAGACAGCAACATCGACTTCATGGTAAAGACTGTGTGTCCAGATATTATATGCACAGGAAATGGTCAAAAGTATGTGGACACCTAAACATTACACCCATATATGATTGTCCACAAACTGACTCACCATCTTTGCTTCATGTAGAGTTCAATCTGATTGAACTTCCAGAAACTGACACCAGAAATCACACGGCTCTCCAGTGAGAGAGGGGGTGGGATTCATCTCTCTTTTAGGAAATATAGTTCGCTTATAATCTTGTTTTATTATTATTCACTAAATGGTCTGAGCCCGAAATATATTTTTGAAATGATTTGATGTTTATAAGCCCAACAGGTCTCGAAGATGTGTTCTCCACTGCCTTCATTTAATCATTTAATCTTTGCACCTTAATTAGATTAGATGTTTTATAATCTGTTTTTATACTGTTTTCTTATTATGGTTTTTACTAATATATTTTTTTAAATTAATAATCATTGAATCACTTACGTGTGTGATTAGGGCTGTACAAATAAATCTCCCCTTATGACTACATGGTAAAATAAAACTAGCAGCAGGGAAGAAGAGGTTTTTCTGTAGTGAGTGCGGGGACAGTGACAGTAAAGTTCTTGGTAAGAAGGTCATGTTTTCCACCTGCCCTCAGTGTTTCCTGCAGTTTTTACTCTTTAGCTCCTTTTTTTGTTTGTTTGTTTCTCTTTATTAGAACTTGTGGTCCAAACTGTGATAAACAGTCCCACTAAACAAAACTGGACATGTCCACATACATTTGGCCATATAGTACGTGTATGTGTGAATGAAGACTGAAGACTTTTTATGTGTTTTAATGTATTTGTCACGTCCTCTCATGTAGCATCTATAACTGATCTATAACAGTTAATCAATGCTGTAAATGTATGATTACACACACATGAACATAGCTTATAGTGTGTTATAAAATATGTATTAACTCTTCATACACAAGTCCAAATATAAACAGGCAGGTTTAAAAGTGTTTAAAAACATGACACTTTTAGTAGAATATGTTATAAAGCATTTATGGATTAGTCTTATCCTGTCAAGGGACGTGAAAACAAAACAGAGGAGTTTAATAACCTACAGTCTGCTTCATGTGATGCTGGTAATCACCAGTAACATCATGTTGTCCACCTGTGTGAAATAACTAAAATGAATAGACACTTAATAGATCTTCATTTGGTATTTGGAAAAAATCTCTATTGTTAAAACTGCAGTTTGAACAACAGAAAAAAAAGATCAGTAATTACAGTCATCATTCGTCATAATGAAGCTCTCAGACAGAGCCATTTACAAAATGACAGTCTTCCTTTTTAATTAAACAGACTGTGTGCAATTATGTGAAATGTGCAGAGTGCAGTGAGTAAGATACAACAGCACTCAGCTGATGTTTGTTAATGTGGATTCACTGGTTCACTTTAACCCTGAGATCACACCTGTGGGTGCAAATACAGAGAGGTTATAGTGTTGAATTTAATGTTGAGTGAACACATGAATGAATGAATGAATAAATCTCTAAGTTGTTGTTAAGTCAATTCAAACAATGAATATCATGTAAATACAGCAAAAAAAACTTGAAGCTACAAAAGAGGTGAGGCTGCACATGTGACATGGGAGTGGGGCTATAATGAAGTAATTATTTTCATTATCAATTCATCTGCTGATTAATTTCTCATCATTTTGCCTGTACAACATCAGAAAACAATGTAAAATGTCTGTCACAGTTTCCTAAAGCCCAAAGTTTTTCACTTAACATTCAAGACTTAATGAATAACTGAATGATTAATTGATTATCAATATACATGTTGAGTAAGTTTCTGTCGTCATTGGGACTTTATGTGGAAGTAAACACAGCTTTTAGAAAAAACAGTTTGAAGATTTTTCACTGTTTAAGGTTCAGAGTTCAGGATCAGGCTCCAGCTGTGTCCTCCACATCTGGACTAGACACCCTGATCCTGAACTCTGAAGCTTTAGTTGGACATTTTAAATCGCAGCCTCTTCACTTGTAAACATGAGTGAAGTATTTACTGTGTGTGCCCACCAGGTGGCCTGTATGCAGTTCATCAACATCGTGGTGCACTCAGTGGAAAACATGAACTTCAGAGTGCACCTTCAGTACGAGTTCACTCGACACGGCCTGGATGACTACCTGGAGGCAAGTCTGACCTTTGACCTCACAGTCTGACCCCTGAAATCAGACTTTAAAATGAGGATTGTTTTAGACTTTTATACACGAGAAGAAAGATTCTGTTGTTGTATGTAAATTTCACAAAATGTAGCGCTTCATTTTATGCTTTTGTAGTTGTTACGTATGTAACTAGATTTAAATAGAATAACAATAATTTTGTGTGTGTGTGTGTGTGTGTGTAGAGGTTGAAGTTCACGGAGAGCGACAGACTGCTGGTGCAGATTCAGGCCTACCTGGACAATGTGTTTGATGTGGGAGCTCTGCTGGAGGATGCAGAAACGAAGAACGCTCTGCTGGAACACATGGAGGAGCTGCAGGAACACAACACACAGGTGGATATACAACCACCATACCATACAACCATACAACCACCCCTTCACTGTTTACACACTTTATTGTGTCGTAGATTTAATTTTAAAACGATAAAAAAGAATTTTGCCCATTAATTGACATGAATTAATTGAAAAATCTGTGATGACAAAGTGAAACATGTTTTTGATTTGATTTGATTTTCAGATTTATTAAATATAAAAAGTAAATCTACAACACAAAGTTTACAAAAAGTGAACCGCTAAAGACAATGAAGATCATCACCGCGTGTAAATGAAACCTGTGTGTTGGTGTCTCAGCTGAGCAGCAGGCTTCAGGAGAGTGAGAGGGAGGCGATGGAGAAAGTGTCAGAGTTGGAGAAGAAGCTCATTCAGACCACAAAGGAGGTGGAGCTCCTAAAGGTGAAGTACATCATTCTCCTCTTTGCATGTGTATTGACTGTGTATTTCAGTCTGACCACTTTATCATGACTGTTTCCTGCTGGTGTGTGTGTCACAGGAGAGTCTGCGTGAGTCATGCTCTCAGGTGACTCTGCTGCAGCAGCGGGAGCGAGAGAGAGAGCTTGAACGAGAGAGAGAGAGGGAAAGAGAGAGAGACAAGGACCGATCCACCGAGGCCCTGAGGGAGCTGGAGGCCAAAGTCCAGGCTCTGGTGGAGCAGGGCCTCGTCCGGATGGAGCGCTCCTCATCTGGACACCTGGACGTTCAGGTGGTCCCCGTCATCCAGGACGTGGTTCAGAAAGGTCAGAGCCTGAAATAATATTTATTACAGAGTTGATAAGAAACTCTGATATTCACTCTGAAGTCGAGCAGCTTCTCTTTCCTTCCTCGCTCTTGTTCCCCTGCATGTGTGAAGTGTAAGGCCGCTTCAGGTTGAATTCACAGAGACACCTGAACTTTCTCCTCGCAGGTGAGACGCAGGCAGTCGCTTTAAACTCTATGAAAAACAAGCGTTCACGTCTGTCCTCCAGGTCGAGCTGTATTTTCGGTTTAGAAAGAGACTTGTTGGTGTCGAGTGCATCACAGTTAAATGTTGAATGTTTCGCAAAAAGACAAATTATAAAAGCTCTTCTTTTCAGCCTTGAACATGAAAATGAGTCAGGCCTCAGGATGAGCAGTTAACAGCCTCTGATCTTTTCTGCTCCTGCACTATTTTGTCACTATGATCATTTCAAAATAAGATGAATGTAGATGAACTGTGTCTAGTGGCCTCCACCATCAGAATCTACATAATCTCACACAGACTGAACACAGTGAATTGTAGAGAGTGAGCTGAACTGATGAAGACCTGCTCAAGTTCATTGCTCTGTTTTGTCCTTTGAGAAAAAATCTATAATCATGAGGAAGAAACTTTTATTTTAGATTTTTTTTTTGGTTTCATGAAGGTGCGTCTGCATAAATTTTATTTGGATACAGCCAATCAAATCTTGAATGTCATGCTGCATTCATGTGCTCCTCAGATGTTTCCATTTCCCGAGTTAGGAAGTTGTTTTTCCAACTTCAGCGTGTCCATGTGCCTTTAAGTCTGAGTGTGGAAACAACATGGATGCTACAAAGAAGATGTGATGTATTTTATAACTGTTTCCAAACACAAAAACCAAAGAGACACAGCTTTTAAACTGTCTGCAAGTCTACAAATGTACTGAGACAATAATAATCCTAAAATATACTGATAACGTTATGAGGTGTGTTCATCAGTGTATCAGCAGATGGATGAGTGTTTGACTGATGAGTGCAAAGTTCACAGGGTTACTGCTGATAAATAACTTTTCTAACTAATCTAGATCTGTCTGCGTGGATGGTAACTGTTACAACCTGATTCCAGAATACAAATTAAACTTGAATTTGCACAATTAATCAAAAGTTTCTCACCATAAAACAAACATTTACTTTCGTCGGCCATGTATGACTTCAACAACTCGGCAAGTCGCGGAACAAAAATTTTGGCCAACTATCCAAGTTGTTGTTCTGACTCGGGGGTGGGCACGTTCACACGAGTTTTCCTGATTATTCCAACACCACCTGAATACAGCTGCCTCACACACTCTGAACGAGAACCCACAGTAGTTCCTGCTGAAGTTTCCTTCTTATCCAACTCCCAGACATGAACACGTCCTGCAGCTTCACTTGACTGTTTCAGTTGGACTTTGATGAATGTAAAATAACAGTGTTGTTGTTTCCCTCACAGCTAAAGATGAAGTAGATACAGGAAATGACCATGAGGCCACTCCCACCTGCTCAGACTCGCCGCCACACCTATCTGAAGCTGCTTTAGAGTCAGTGCCGGCGCAAGCTCCTCCTCCACCACCTCCTCCACCACCACCACCACCACCACCTCCTCCTCCTCCTCCAGGCTCAACTGCAGCTCCTCCTCCTCCTCCTCCTCCTCCTCCTGCAGCTCCACCCCCCCTGCTACCTCCTGGAGATGGTGCGATGCAGCTGCCAGGGGCAGATGGGAGCTCAGGTGAGTCTGCCATCAGAGCACAGTGGTTTGGTTTGGACCTAAACTCTGGAACTGTAACATTATCCTGAGAGAAAAAATGTAAATGCACAGTTCACCATAAAAACGACTTTAGTATTTTACCAATAATTCACTGTCCGAATAGAGAGAAATATTTTTGATTGTCTGTTTGAGCTCATGAACTTTTTTTCATCCTTTTCTTCCAGGTCGTAAAAAAAAGAATCCTATTCAGACCAAATACCGGATGCCGCTGTTGAACTGGCAGGCCCTCAAATCCAACCAGGTGGCAGGAACCATCTTCAACGAGCTGGACGACGAGCACGTCTTAGAGGTTTGACCACTTCCTGTTTCCAGTGTCTGTGTTTGTCACTACTGTCACTGACTAAACCCACATCATCCAGGTATCCACTGTGTGACACTCAGCTCTGTTGAATCCACTTCGTCTCACACAGTCATTACCTCAATGTATTTATTCACTTCCATTCCTTTTTTTGTAGAAGGTTTATTGGTTTTTGTTAATTAAACACAAAAACTCCCTCCCTTTCCTGAGAAATACAGTATTTTACTCTAGTTAAAATCAAACTTCAGCTTTGGAATAAAAGCAATAACACCAACAGTTTTGTGGTCACAAACCTTTACACAATTCTTTCTTGTGAAATGGAAAAAACAGCAACTCAGATCTTATATAATCCTGAGTTATTTCTTTAATAACTGCTCCGTAAAATCAGCTCAGATCATCTCTGAGAATCCTCCATTTTAACTTGCAACAATCAAAAAAATTAACACATTTACATTTTCTTCCATTAACTGGAAACTACTCTGGTCATAAATGTAACAAACCTCAACAGGAACAGTTTATCTTAGAACCTGTTTCCAGTTTCATGTTCTTGTTAGATTTAATACTATTGGGATTAAAATGGTGTAATTAAACATGTATAATGTGAGTCCTTACCAGCCATTTACACTGCAACAGTTCAAGCAACATTTAATGTCTCATTTCTCAGCTCTGTGTATTTCTCTCTCTGTCTTTGATGGATCTCTCCTACCAGGAGCTAAACATGGCCACCTTTGAGGAGCAGTTCAAGACCAAGGCCCAGTCCGCCCCTGTAGACCCGGGCACCCTCAAGATGAAACTGGCCCACAAGACCCCCAGTAAAGTTTCTCTAATGGAGCCCAACAGGGCCAAAAACCTGGCCATCACCCTGCGTAAGGAGGGAATGGCTGCGTCTGACATCTGCTGCGCCATCGAGACGTACGCTCTAAACCTAAACTCCATTTGTTTCTACATCATATATATATAAATAGTGAGACACTTTAAATTCACATCACTGCCGCCCCCACAGGTACAACCAGAGAGCTCTGAGTCTGGACTTCCTCGAGCTGCTGGAGCGTTTCATCCCCACAGAGTACGAGATGAAGCTCATCCACAACTACGAGTGCGAGGGCAGGCCCCTGGACGAGCTCAGCGAGGAGGACCGCTTCATGGTGCGCTTCAGCAAGATCCCGAGGCTCTCGCAGCGCATCAGCACTCTCACCTTCATGGGCAATTTCCCTGAGAGTGTCCAGCTGATACAGCCCGTGAGTTCATGGGGGGGGGGAATCTCAGATTCTGGAGCCTGATGGACATCAGAGAGAATGATATATGAGAAAATTATAGGTCAGACTGAATTTATAGATGTGTGTATGACGTCTGTGTTTGGATTTGACTGTGAATCAGATATTTCTGACAGAAATTACAGCAATCAGGACCTACGGGTTTTTAAATACCTTACCTGCCTTCATGAGCTCTGTGTCACCGACTCTGCTGCTGCTGACCGCAAATCAGTGGCCAAGCTACAATAACTAACTTCCTGTTGTTTTACACTTGCATCCACCTGTCCACGTCTCACAGTTTGAAAACTTCTGGTTCAGACAGTTTAAATGAAACCACAGAACTGCTCCTGTTCTGACACTGACTGCTGCAGTTTCACACTCACAGTCAGCCTCATCTGTTTTCAAACAATTGTTCCATATTTGGGGAAAAATGCTTATTTATTTTTTTACAGAGTTAGATGACAAGATCACCTCTGTTCTCTAGAACCAGCGGTTTAGTTTTTATTTTATAGCTTCATTTAACAGGCATGGGGCACGTTAATAAACTCCCAGAACTCTCAGAAGAGACTGATTGAAACCTGCAAAGCAGAAGCACTGACATTAAAATCACATACAGTGCACAAAATGTATAAATCAGTCTGACAAAATAAAAGACATTCAGCTTCCAGAGGTTTAGCTTAGCTTAGCATAAAGACTGGAAACAGGGAAACAGCTAGCCTGGCTCTGTCTAAAGATAAAAAAATATCAACCTTTTCATCTAACTCTGCAAGAAACAAAATAAGTATACTTCCTCAAATATGAAACTATTGTTTTAAGATGCAGCACGCTGTGGATTAAGTGAGGCAGCCTGTAATAATTTGGTCCTTCACAGTTTAGAAATAAATAATCATATCAACTATTATTCCCTCAGCAACTCAACGCCATCATCGCCGCCTCGATGTCGATCAAATCCTCCAGCAAACTGAAGAAAATCCTTGAGGTGAGTTTGTTATTTTCAGAAGAATAACGTAGTAACAGAGCAGCAGCTTCTTCTCGCTCCACTGTCTCTTTGCTGTTCATTATGTGTCCGTGTGGGAGCTCGAGTCATTTGTGAAACAAAAGTTCATTTTTACCATGAATCTGAAAGAAGGAAAATGAACAGTTAAATAGAACAATTAGTAAAAACTGCCTTTAATTTTGTGCTTTATTATTTTCATTAATTTACATCTAAATATTATTTTACCAGTATTAAAGTTAATACATCTAAATAACATCAGTTTCTTCTCCTCAGCTTTGATAATATTTGCTACCGACTTAAACTACAAACATTTTGTCTCATAAAAAATGACTATAGTGAAGAACCTGATGTGAAAATGTTACCAACAGTCAAAGATCTGTGTGCACATTATGTTCAGCTGACTATAAAAGGTTAAAGCTGTTTTATGAAGGGAGAAGTTTTTCTGTTTTTATCTCGAGTTTGAGGAGAGGGGTCAAAGTTTATTTGAATTGTGAGACATCACATGTTTCCTTATGACTGATATGACTTCTTTAAATATTTTTACTAATTCAAATCTGTTTTCATTGCTTTTAAATGCTATTTTGATGCCATCTTAATGTTCTATTTTAATGTATTTCCATGCCTCTGTAAAGCACCTTGCCTTGCCTTGTGTCTGAATGGTGCAATATAAATAAACTAGCCTTGCCTCTACTATAATGGTATTTTACGTGTATGACAGTAATTTCTTGTCGTACAAAATGGTTTGACCTTGTTGTTTCCTGTCTGTGATGTGAAGATCATCTTAGCGTTTGGAAACTACATGAACAGCAGCAAGCGAGGGGCAGCGTACGGCTTCCGCCTGCAGAGTTTAGACCTGGTGAGTATAACCTACAGAAATATTCATTGTGTCTGTTTCTGTAGAAAATCTGAGAATCTTTTGCTCAACTTGTGATCACACACTTTGTTTTTCTTTAGCTGTTAGACACCAAATCTACAGACCGTAAACAGACACTGCTTCACTTCATCGTCAGCATCATCCAGGAGAAATACCCAGAGCTGCAGTCCTTCTACACAGAGCTGCACTTCCTGGACAAGGCGTCACTCGGTACACACTCACTGCAGTTACTGATCCTGCTCCATCCATCTCTCATAAAGCTCCACACATACAGTTCACCATCTGCTTTCCCACTATAGCTTAATCAACATTACACTGCTCAACGCCCTGCAGAGCCCAAGTTAAGAGATGTGTCATTCTTATTTGATTTTGATGCATTTTCAAAACTAAAACTATTTGTTTCTTTGAAATATTTTTGAGCTGAAAATGCTTCTATGAATCTTTGGAAGAAAATTTCAGAAAATGTTAGAAAATAGTTCAAATGCCTCAAATCATTATTTCCCAGATCTGAAAGCGACACTGAAATGTTTAGTTTACAGGCTTATAAAACAGAAAAAAGCAGCAAATCCTCACATTTTAAATTTGTCTGGACAACGACTTAAAAAGGTCCCATACAGTTTAAAGGTAGATGTCCATGTGTTGTTTGATTATAGATCAGGTCTAGGTTCTATATTAATACTGTGAAAGTATCAAAGCCTCAGTCCACAGAGAAATGCACACAGCCTGTATTCAGAAACTGAGCCTTAAAACCAGCTGTCAGGACTTCTGGAACTTTGTGATGTCACAATAAAGCAGCCACCGCTCTCAGCCACGCCCAAGCCCCGCCCACCAGGACCTACTATCCAACCTTGCAGGATTTTGTTTCTCTAAGTGTTTTACCTGAAATCTGCTGTATTTTTATTCACTCAGAAAACAGTCAGTCAATCAGAAGAGAGGAACAGAGCCTCCTCTGTGGTTTAGTGTCAAAATCATTTGACACTAAACCACATTTGTGCAGATATGAAAATCAAATGTCATCTTTAATAATGTCCTAACAGTGGGACTGCTGTGATCACCTCATTCATGTTTTTTAGACCTTTGTGCAGGTTCTTTTTTTGACCCCGACACCGCAGTGTGACCTTTAAAATCTTGCATGAGCATTAATACCACACAGTCTAATAACCACACTACCAGCAGTGATAGGAACGTTACACTGAAGCACTAACTCACCTCTTTCCTTTGTGTCGTAGTTTCTCTGGACAGTATTGTGCAGGACGTGCGAGCTCTGGAGCGAGGCATGGAGGTGACCAGGAGGGAGTTCTCTGTGGAGAAAGAAAATCCTGTGCTGCAGACGTTTCTCAGCAGAAACACCGAGCTGCTCGACTCACTCACAGCCGATGGAAAAACTGCACAGGTCATCTTTAATCACCCAGTTACACATATTTCTGATGTCCGCCTCCATTTCTTTGGCTAAATTTGTCTCATTTTTTGTCTGTTTTCCAGGACGTGTATGACTCAGCTGTGGAGTACTTCGGAGAGAACTCTAAAACCACCCCTCCCTCGGTGTTCTTCCCTGTTTTTGTCAGATTCATCAAGGCCTACAAGGTCAGATAACACTTACTTTATTGATTTCTGGGCTAAATGAACAGACAGTGCAGCAGATAGCTGCTTCGCTGACAACTAAAAAAACCCAGCTATTCCAGGATCCTTACAGCTCAGTTAGTCAGTCACAGTGAGCCAATGTCACACTTATTATTTGACCTTCACATGTCGATCAGTAGATGCATTTAACATCCTCATGTTTTTGTCTGTGGCAGCAAGCAGAGCAGGAAAATGAGCAAAGGAGGAAACATGTCCTGAACTGTGAAGCCCCCTTGACTCCACCCAAACCTGAAGTCATGGAGAACAAGGTAACATCTCATAAAGTCAGAATTTAATTACCCACACACTAACTGCTCTAGGTTAATGGATCATTCCTGTTTGTTGCAACTTGGGTCTTATACTTTCTATCCGTCACAACAACATTGTACTCACCAAGTTAACTGCTGAGATCAGCAAACTACAGTAGCTCGGAGGGGTCAAGAAACATGAGACGACCGAACAGGCTGTAAACAAAGCCAAATGTATTAGAATAGAATAAAATAATTTTACTGTTTTCCTGTATTTTCTCTTCCAGATTACTGGGCAAGGCAAATTTTATAGCACATGTCAATACATGAAATAAAGAATACAAGCAGTAAAACAGACTAGAATAAAAAAATAAAAAATAAAAAAAAAATAAAAAAGTTAGGTCTTGAGTTTGGACTTGCTCATTGATCTAGTCTCAGATCTTGTAGCATTTTGTGCCGCACAGTGCCTGAAGGCAGCTTCGTCATCTGTAGTTCTAACCCTGGGAACGGACAGTGATCGTGAGCCAGCTGACCTGAGCGGTCTACAAGGTTCATACTGGTTCAGTGTTTTGGACCTGAGCTGTGTAGTGATTAATGGACCAGTTGCAGCATTTTAAAGTTAATTCTTCCAGCTGCTGGTAACCAATGAAGGGATCTGACAACTGGAGCTTGAGGCTGAGACAGACCTGTAAACTGCAGTAATCCAGCCTGCCAGAGACAAATACAGGGACAAGTTTCTCCAGAACATCATGCGTCTCTGGAGAAAAGGAAGCAACATAAAACCAGGAGGAACTGGGAAAACAATAGAAAAACATTAAATACCAATAATTATAATGTAATAATAAAGAATGTAATAAATAAAAGAGGTGAGCTACAGTGACAAAGGTGTTGTGGGTATTGTCAAATCAAAGAAACAAAAATAACAAAAAGAAAAGTCCAAACTCAGTTTTTCTATCTGAAATACAGAAAAATGGAAAGTGAAAGCCATTTTTTTCCGCAGCCTGTTGTGGCCTAAATAGGTATTACAAAAACAAACACAAATCTGGCCTAAAAGAAAGATAACTTGCCTCTCAGGGCTTCCATTGATCTGCAATTACCTATGTTAAATTAAAGAAAAAAGAAATATAATATGTGTAACTACTCCTACTCCCTAATGTTCACTAACAATAGAGTTGTAATTTTAGGCTATTAGACATAAATATTAAAACTGATTTTACAACAATTCAAGAAACCAGAAATGTTCTTTAACGGTACCCATATGACATCAGCAGAGTCATTGACCATGAAGGAAAGGGAACGTTACTTTCAGACTGACACTTTTACCCTTGTTTCAATGTTTCAGGTTTCCATGACGCCCAGACTGCCCCAGATGGATCTGATAGCAGAGCTGAAGAGGAGGCAGGTGTCTCCTCTGGTGAGGGAGGGGAAGGACGGAGCCATCGAGGACATCATCACAGGTACAGAACGACCTGGACAATCATACAGTACAGTCTGTTACATTAAAATTCAATTAAGATACATTTGAAGTTAGCCTAGCTAACAGCTAGCCTGGCTCTATCCAGAGTGAAAAACTACACCAACCAGCATCACTAAAGCTCCTTAATGAATTCTCTTAATCTGCCCGACTCCTTTTTCTCATGCACCTGTGATACTAAACATTTCGTCCTGTTTGCTTTTAGAACAGTCACTCGTTTCTTTCTTTTAAAGCTTATCTTACTTTCATCATCCTTGCTTCTTCTCTCTCGTTTGTCCCTCCTCTCTTCCTCTCCTTGTTGTTTCTCCTGTGTCTTCAGCTCTAAAGTCCGTGCCCTTCACGGCCCGCTCTGCCAAACGCTCCTCTCGTCTCTTCTGCGACTCCGTCTTCATCGACGAGGTGACGTTTTAAAAATCCCTCGGTGTTCTGTGACTCTGTCATTCTGCTGCTGACGACTCTTGTGTTTTCTAACCAGGAATTGATCAACAGATTGTAGGACATATATCATGACGCCCACTGGCAGGGTTTATGTCATATTACAGGCTGAGACTGTCACAGTATTATCAGTTCATTTAAGCACAAGAATTTGTTATAAAACATAAGATGTGACCATAAATTTCAGATTAATTACACCTTTAAAAACATTTAACCAAACCTCTACATACATAAAGGCAACAGACAGTAAGAATTAACTGGCACCAGCAGGAATTTCAGTGTCTCCTCCAGTATAGCCTTCACACTATCAGGGACAGTCTGCCCTTGAAAGAATACTTTAGTTGCTGTTTACAGTATTTGTGCCTCTCTGGAGATGTCGACCCTTTTAAGGCTCATTTGAAACTGTCTGCTGCTTTTAAAGTGGATGAAAGGAACCGATGTGAATTATAGGAGCAAGAACAACAAGTCCTTCAAACTAAACGACGAGGTATTGGTTTGTATTTAAAGGAACCACAGTGGCAAACAGTGGTTTCCTGTAATGATGCATTTTATAATCAAAAGCTAATGTACTATAATATAGGGAGGGGAATGTGTCAATTTTTATGATCTATCAATATGAATATATCTTCTTCTATAGACATTAGTTTTAATTTGCTTTTTACTATTCTGTAAAATTAGTTGATCACGTGTTCAAAAAGTTTTGAAAGGTAAATAATTATTGAGGTCATCGCTGCACAACAGCAGCAGAACCTGATCAAAAGTATATGGACACTTTAAATATAATATCCATACCTGTAAGTGATTGTTGATAACAGGCTTTAGGTTGTGAAGCCTCTCCACCAGATGTTGAACCTGGCTGCATTCAGCCACAACAGCATCAGTGAGGTCCAGCCCAGGTGTTTGGTTAGTGTTACCAGTCAGGCTCTCCCACAACAAACTGGGAAAACCATTTCTTCATGGAGCTGATGGGAAAGAGACAAACCGCTGTCACAAAGATGAAACAACATCATTGTCTAAAATATCAGTGTATGTTGTGGTGTTAAGCTTTACCTTCAGTGGAGGTAAAAAAGGCCAAAACCATTAACAGATACTTTCAGATTTATATTGTACAGTTATGTTTCTAAAAAGGGTTTCATTTTTTCATTTTCTTCCAAGTTTTAGAAATATCTACCGATGACATCACTAGATCTTATTATTAAACCACAGTGCATCAGTCTGCAGTTAAGATGGAGTTATATGAAATTTTATCAAATACCTTTTTCCCTAAAAACATAACCAGTCTTTTCACAGGTAGATTATTGATGTCTTTGTTCTTGGTCCTCCACCTCAGATCTAAGGAATCAGCCATACAGACGGGCAGACGGCGGGCGGCGCAGCGCCAAGTGGAAACCAGGACAACAGCTGCACGTGTCCTCAGACATCTCCCTGTGAAACCCACTGCAGAGCAGAGCAGACAGCACAAGCACAAGAGATCAGACATTTAACTCACTGTGGACACACACTCGTTGTCTCACGCATGTTAACGAATACAGAGGTGAAAATGCATGTTTCACAGAGATGACGACACCCACAACAACAACAACACCTGACGACAAAGAGTTAAAAACATGAGCTGAGATATTATAAATGAACTTTTCCCTCCAAACTCAACATGAACACAAACCGTCTCTGTTCTGTTAAAGTACCTTTCTGAATCAAGTTAAAGTAGAAATGTTCTGAGTGAATATTAGCTGCACTTGATGCTAATGACACTGGATGTCATAAGAGCTGATTAAGACAATTATATGGAAGAATGAGCCATTCAGCTGATACGTGACGAGAGCGCTTCATTAACGCTGCTCAGATCTTTCAGCCTCGGCTCAGAGTGAAGCTTCAAAGAGAAACTTTGACAGACAAACCTCTCATGAATCATTTTTGATAAGTTTTTTTTTTTTTTTTTTTTTTTTTTTTTAAATGTTCACGACATGATTTTTTAATTGGTTTTATTTTAAAAGAGAATATTAATTACAGCACCACCGTCCATCTTACTGTCTGTTTCTGCAGTAGATTAAAGATCAAAAATTAAGCTGAAGATTTTTAATATATTTAAATTATTTTTAATACTGAGAATGATGAACTTGTACTTTGCTTCTGCATTTCAACAAATAAAGCATTTTATACTGGTCTTGATTGTGTGTTTTTGCTTTTTGGTGACATTTATATGATGAATTGAGTGAAATAAAAGCCTCCACATGCCTCTGACGTCTTTATGCCTTACTACCCTGTGATGTTCTCATGACTTCCTATACTAAGTCTTGGTGGCACAGTGGTGCAGCTGTTATCACTGTTGCCTCACAGCCATAAGGTTTTGGGTTCAAACCTGGACAGTCTGCTGTGGCATCCTATGACACTGTATGACTTACTGCACTATGACGTTTTTACGACTTACTACATACAATGACGAAATAAACCGACAGCAGTTTATCGACTCATTGCACCGACAACTGCCACAGGTGATTGTTATTTTTAGAGTCATGTAAAACCACCGGGCTTCTACATGTTTCTGACGTCATGAACTTGTGTTTGAGTTCTTTGGTTTTTCAGCTGCTGTGTCCAAATGTCTGAATATACAGTATCTGACACATTTTCTGCTGTTACAACTTCAGTCTCAATATATCTTTATATATTTTTTTGTCTAATTACAACTTCATCTCATTGTCATAGCTTTGTTTTATTTTTGTAACATTACATTGATATTTAAAATTGTCTAGATTATAGTAAAATTAACTGTAAAACTTTTAGTAATGTTACATTTTTCTCATTAAGTTATGACTTTTCCCCCATAACTTTGATATATAATTATAGTTTTACCTCAAAAGATGAACAGATAATTGTAAAATTGCAATTTTGTCTGATGTTAGATTTTTTTTCTAATATTATTTCTATTAAAGTTACATCTAAAAATCCTCATCTATAATTGTAATTTATTTTTTCTGAAAATATAATTTATCCATAGGGGTATAACTGTAGTATTGAAAATTACAATTTATTATGATAAAATTACAGCTTTATTCATGAAATCCCTGATACTAAGCATCTTTAATCACACATACATTGTTTATATTGTTAAAACATTTTTGTCAGTTCAGAAATGTTCACAAGAAATTTACCACATTTGTCCAAATGTTTGTTTGTTTTTTGTTTTTTTACAATTTTGAAATTAGACTTGCTGCAGTTTTAATTCTGTCCCTGTCTGTTAAATGGCCATCTGTTTGAACAACACTTAAACTGTCTGAAACAATTTGCCATATGTCGCAGTTGTTGTTGAAAAGAGCATGAAATGAGTCGTTTTGCTTCACATGAAAAGGCAGCAGATGCAGCTGAGAACAAACTGATACCTGACGAGTGACCAAGACCAGACCTGCAGCTGTGCAGTGACAAAGCACTTTTACATCATCACTGCAGAGTTTAACAGATGCAGGAGATACGAGGAATCTCAGCTCACAGAAACACAAATGACTAAAGATCAAGCTGAGAAGAAGTCAGAGCCACTTCCTGGAGGAAACAGTGTATATCAGGTTTAAACCCTCAGTGATATTTGCTTTTCCTCTTTTAGGGAGTTTAGAGTTTGGAGGATACAGCAGGAGTGTTTCTCTGTGACCTTTGCTCCCTGCTGATCTTCAATCAAGAAAAGATAAAAAACAAAAGACAAAGCGTCTCGAGTCAATTACTCTGGTTTATCTACAATTAGTGTCAGACTTAGTTTTTCACTTTGTTTTTGTTCCTGGCATGTAACATAGAATACTTGAGTTTTCACTAATGATTCAAAAAACATTTATACTGTAACACAAACGGATAAACAATTAACAGCAGACTGTTACACTTAAATTCTGTTTTATTTTCTGAAAAGGTGAAACTATTTGTAACTAATTAAGTGATTGACAGGAAAAATCTAAATTACAAAAATGCACTGGTTGCAGTAGAAATGTTTTCTGTCATAAGTTTACTGAATATTTTGGGGGTTTGGATGGTTGGTCAAACAAAAGTAAAGACTTACATTCAGAGTCTTGGATGATCCAGGGATGTTCCGTTTTTCCGTTTTCTGACAATTTACAGACAAGATGAAAATAACCTGCAGATTCACCTGTAAGGAAGATAATTGTCGTCACTTTTTTTGGACTAATGATTGAAACATACAAACTTCATAACAACTTTATAACAACACTACAAAAAAACCCCAGCGAAACCCAAAGGAGCATCGCTGCTATACCTAACGTGAAAACAGCTTTTGCTCTTAAACAATTACGCACCAACATGTCAACACTCACCTGCTTTTGAACAAAGAGGTCTTCTCTTCTGAACCCAAACACGCTCAGCTCAGCCAGGTGCTTCCGTTTACCTTAATTGAGCAACACAAGGCACACCCATAGACTGTAAATTAAGCTGGACGTACCCATAGGTTTCTGAAGGGCGGTACAGAGTGAACCGGTCTTCGTCGCCATCTTGCTAGTACCTGACTCCGCCGAACGCCCGGCTAATCCAAAAACGAGAAAAGAGGAGGGGCGCGTGTGCAGCCGAGACTTCGGTGCATGCCGGCTCGTGGCAGGCATACTCTCACTCGGTTATTCAAAATTTAAGCCATAATCAAATTTAAACGTGTGAGTTATACAGTTGTCATGAAGGAGGGAATTAGCAGTAGAAACCCAAACAGTTTTTTGTACCAGGCTGTAAACATGTTTATTTCTGATGTAAAGTTAGGCATTTTAACATGGGAGTCTGGGGATTGGTGTGCTTTTGGAGCCAGCCTCAAGCGGCCAGTCGAGGAACTGTTTTTGTTTCTTCCGTGTTGGCTTCATTTTTCAGCCTCGGAGGTTGCCGCTTGCTGTCAATCTAATTTTAAAGTAAAAGTAAAGAGAGCCGAAGTGAAACCAGAATTTCTGGTTCTGCAGATAAAAGAAAACCTCGTTCAAAATCCCATTCTACCCAAATTACTAAACATACAGTATGTACGTCATGTGGCTCGCTTCATATGTCTAGATGAGGATGGTAGTTTTTTTTTTGTTTTTAAATGATGTAATATCATTTTTCTGTTTGTTTCTGTTTTTTTAATCGCTGGCTTTAAAAAACACATTTTCCCATAAGTCCTATATGATCATGGACAAAAAGTCGCGTTGTGAGCTCAGACACGTCTGTAACAACAGCAAAATGACTTTAGAAGAGAGCGTTGGTGAGTCTTAGCACGTTTCATACAGTCAGAACATAAAACACATCAGGATACACAGGGAGGGAATTTAAAAAGATTAATTACAAAACTGTTGATTAAGATACAATCAGAAAAAAATATCACTGGAGGAGCATGGATGTTCTTGAATTGTTGAAGTTGAAAGAATGTAACATGACATTAGTTCTGTTTTTAATGCAGTTCTGAGTTCACTTTTCTACGTTTCTTGGTTTACTGCTGAGGTTCAACCATTATCTTCTGTTTCCTTGGTACAAACAAGTTTTCCAGCCTCTGTGCTCATGTTTCTCAGTTCCTCAGTGATTTCTCTGCTTTTTCTTGCTGCTTCTGCAACAAACTGAGTTGGATCTTTGGCTCTCTGAGAGTCACTGATGGTTTTCTGCATCGCCGTCACAGCAGCCAGAGTCTTCGCAGTTTGTCTTGTGAATATTTGCACATTAGCACTGGAGGTCATTTCATCACTGATCATCTGGACGATTTTCAGCTGCTGCACCAGAGGTTTGATGCTTTCACTGAACTCGTTTGCAGCTTTTTGTATCATCTTCACGTTCTTTGTCCTGTTTTCATCTTCTTTTGAATCTTTGGTTCCACAAACACTATTAGCGACACCCCCGACTAAATAAACCGCCAATCCTGTTCCGCACAACGCACCAAATCCACCACCAGCAGCACCACCTGCTGCACCAACTGGCCCACCAAAAATACCACCGATTGCACCGCCAGTTGTGAGACCAATGGTGAAGCATACTACTTTACTGACTGCACCATGAAATGAATTACTTGACGCCTCAACTGCGACACCAACAGCACCTCCAACACTGCCAGAAAACACTCCACCAGCTACACCACCGAACACGCTGCCTACAAAGCCGACAGTTGCATCAACTGCATTAATTTTTCCACAAAGTCTTGCACAGGTTGCTGCAGCAACTGCCCCCAATGCCCCCCCAACTCCACCAGTAAAGCCGCCACAAACTCCTCCAAGAGCTCCCCCAGACAAACTGAACAGATCCGGAAATGAAGCAACTTCATTCTGTGTGTTCTGCAGTCGAGCAGCCGCCTGAGCGAAGCTCTCTGAAGCTCTTTGAAGACGACCTTCATGTTGATGGTAGAGAAGCATGAAGGATGTCAGACTTATTATGAGTTTGTCCTCTTGGGTGGTAGAAGTGGTGGATGGTCTGTCGTCCACAGATCCTCCTTCAGAGTCAAGCACATTTCCCATTTTGTTGTTTTTCCTTCACAATAATCCACTTGAACCTGAGGTGAAGTCGTCACATGTTCAGTTGTTGGACGTCGTTTAAATCGAAGGTGAATTCCCACAAATGAGACCAAGAAGTGTTCGGCCGAGGTTCTTATTTTTCTGACTGCAAATGAAAAGCAAAAGATTTCAAAGTTTCCAGAACACTCTCACATCGTTTTAAGTAAAATATGAGGTAAAATAAATAAATACAACTCCAGACAGAAAGTGCATACAGAAAATTGTCACGTTAATACTAAGCTCTCATATGAACGTTTAACCCAACAGCATCAAATTTAGGCTGAATTTAAGGACTTTCACAATTTAAAAAAAAGATTTACATTTAGACATTTGGCAAACATTTTTACCCATACCCAAATTAATTAGTTGAATTACTATTTAAGATGAACATTAATAAACTTAATGAACTGTCTTATATTTTGTCCAATATGGTAAAAATAAGAATGATCCAGGAAGTTGCCTGATAAATTTTCTTCATAAGATTTTCTTCCCCATTCTGTATTCCCATTTCAATTTTTTCTTGAACACAGAAACTCAGGAAACTCTCCTGGATAATGTAACAATCCTTTAGGTTTATATAATGGCCACTGGTTTCAATTATTTCATGGTGGGCGGTTCTAAATACTACAAT